GCCACATCAGTCGACAATTTCCCGTTGGTATGGAGAATTCAAACGTGGACGGGTGAGTCTTAGCGATGATTTCAGGGTGGGTGCACCAGAAACGGCAGTCACCCAGGAAAACGTCGATGATCTGCGCAAACTCATCATTGAAGAAAGACATGTGACATATCGCGAGATTGAGGCGTCCTTGAAGATCTCAAAGACCTCAGTTCAAAAAATTTTACATGCAGAATTAGGAGTAAGAAAATTAGTTTCTCGTTGGATACCCCACCTGTTGACTGAAGAGCAGAAAGCAGCCAGTTAATTGGTGACAAAAAACGCTTGACCGTTTCAATTCCGGAAACTCAAAAAATGTGTACAGCATTGTTAGTGGTGATGAATCGTGGATTTACTGTTATGAACCAGAAAATAAACGACAGTCGGCTGTTTGGATGTTCCAAGGTGAAGAAAAGCCAACAAAAGTCAAAAGCGTGTCATATTACAACAATTCCTCTTAATGAGCAAAGAACTATTACTGCGGATTGGTATACCACCATTTGCTTGCCAAAAGTCATCACCGAGCTTCGAAAAATCAACCCCGAAAAAAGAATCATCCTCCACCAAGACAATGCAAGCTCGCACACAGCCCAAAAAACAGGGCAGTATTTAACGGAAGAAAAGGTGGAATTATTGGACCATCCTCCATATAGTCCCGATCTAAGTCCTAACGATATCTTTAGTTTCCCGAAAATTAAAAACAGACTGCGTGGTCAAAGGTTCCAGTCACCAGAAGAAGCAGTTGACGCATTCAAAAATGCCGTTTTGGATCTGCCAGCAAACCAGTAGAATAAGTGCTTCGAAAATTGGTCCGAGCGCATGCAGATTCGTATTAATCTTCATGGAGAATACTTCGAAAAACAATAAAGTCATTTAAAACTACCTACCGTGTTGTTTTATTTCCATATGCAAAACTTAAAAGACATCCCTCGTATCAATTACCTACCACGGTCAATACTAGAACTACTGGCAAAAGGGTATCTGTTGACACTACGTGATCAACTGTCGCATTCCTGGATTCCGTAGGCCAAATAGCGCTAGTTTCAAACTATCAGTTCCTAATTTGCTGTGCATTAATCAAAGCCACATTGCGAATTTGTCAAATTTACACGTGCGGGTGACACATGTCTATCTAACAATACAAAAAATATTCATATATTCTTATAATAGTTGCATATACAGAGATTCATTGATATTTGTAGTGAAAGTCGGGCATGGAGCACACCAGGGGAGTATACAATTCGTTAACTATGAAGCATATTGTAGCAAAATCTTAATGGTTACCTTAATTTCATGATACGTTTCAAATAAACCATAATTTTTAACACTACTTGGATGGTTTTGACATACGGTAAGATTTTTTGGCGGAATATTGAAATTCCAAAGCATTCATATGGCCTTTTATGAAAAATATATCATTTCGTACTATTTAATTTTTGACTGCAACAAATTCATAGAAATGTTTACGAAGTGACTATAGGGAACATTAAAATGTTACCTCAAAAATTCAAGAGGATACACTGTCCTGTTTTTGAAATATTCTCCTAGGAAATTAATAACCCGTCGTTTCCATCATATTAATATTTTCCCGTATTATATCACAAAGTGCTTAAAAAAACGTATGAAACTTGAGCAGCACTAAAACTAAAAAATTTACAATTCGTTTTCCTTGCTACTAGCGATGTTTGGCCGGTGGTAAAGGAGAAAGTTATGAAGCCTGAACACAAAACGTTTTTCGTCAGTGATGCAGCTATTTGTAGTCCGTAAACTTTATTTTAACCGTAGATTCATTGTAATGTCCGCCGCATTATATCCAATGACCAATGTAATGCCTCGTTTTAACGCTAATTAATTTGAATTCAAATGAGTCGTGAATCGACTCGAATTACCAAGAATGTGATTCGATCTATTTGGTCGTACAACACGCACCATTTACTGGTCAGTTGGAAACGGAACACTGACAATTACATGTTTCATGATATACGAAATAGATAACCGAAAAACGATCAATACTCAAAAATAGAGCAAGTTGGAGCAACAGTTCAGAAAAAAAAATTACAACCGAGTAGAGCGTTAATGCTTACCTTCGGAGAGGGTGATATAAATAATACAACGGCAATTTTGATCGGCGTGGCACATCATGGTTCATACAGGTTCGTAGACTTAATATGAATGTGTGAATAAACGAATGAAAATAGCGACCTTTTTCGCGAACGGCACGTTGACCCTGCTCATCTTACACATTTCTTGTTGATTTTTCATGTTTGACTGAGTCCACCACCTTCATTAGATGGTTTTTTCTTTTTCCTTTTTTGAAGAGTTGTCTGTCTAAGGGCCAATTTCAACAACATTAATATTATGGACCAATAGGAAAATACCTTATCGAAATGCAATTTGACGGAAGGCGTCAAAGGTCTCAGAATATCAGTAATTTCTATTAAAATGTTTGATTCCAACATGATGCTTTTGTACAGAGAAAACAGGGCAACTCTCATGTATTTTGATTTATGTTATAGGTGTACATTTGACCATCCGTTATCCCCATAGCGAATGGGAATGGGAGAAATAATAGGTCGATTTTCTAGCTGTTAAATTTGGCAGCAGATTTGGTCGTTTGTTAATTCATGGCAATCTTGAAATTTGTTAAGTTCAATATACTGTGTGTATATGTGATCATTATAGCTACACATACCTGTTGAATTGTGCGGATTTGCAAGAAAATAGAATATAAAATGTATTCCAACAATTCCTCATCTCTCTTCACATCATAATAGTAATCATTTGTTATAAATTCATGGGTTGATGAATTTCTTCAAAGCAATCAAAACAGTATGATCGTCCCCATCCTAAAACACCGATATGTGTAAAACATGTTAATCCCTACATCTCCGAGGTGCATAATGCAATTACTGTAGACATAGACCTAAAATTATTAGTAATTACTGAAAAATAAGAGCTAAAAAGAATTATAAATAGTGATAAAATATTGGCGGTTAAGGTTTTTGACTGGTGACTGGTGAGGATACAATATAGGGATGGTGACGATAGACGATACATTGATGTATCGAAAACATCGATACATCGGACGTAGAACATCGATCTTTACGCATCGATGGTTTTATGACGATATATCGATATCGAGAGGAATCATAAACATGCGTAACCGAGTGTATCCTTAACTGTGCTACCATCTCTAAGCGAAATTGAAAGGCCAGAAAGATATTTAGGTGTTTAGTAGTATTTGAATATTATCATTACAGACGAGCACTGAGCCTCTGAGTGGCCACTGAGCTGTAGTCTTTTCTTCATTCTGTACTTCCCCAAGGGATAGAATAAAATAGACTGAAAACAGCGCGTTTAATGATGTTCAGTTCTCAGAGAAAGATTTTCCCCTGCCGGCCCTTGACATCGTTTCAAAATATGAAATTCTGGCAACGCTATAAAAATGAAAATGAATACATAAAGCCTACTTACCTATTTCAGACAAAAACAAAAACAACTGCCACATAACGATTGTCACCTTGACATCATTCTGCAATCTGTCAAAGTAGTGATGGGCGTGCCTGCTGCATGGTATACGCGATCGATATTCGATAAAATATTTTTCTTTCTACCATGAATGCGTGGAAAAAACAATATAAGGAGAGATCTAAAATAAGGAGTTATTGAAGGCCTAAAATAGCCAGGCGCTAATAATTCCTGGCCGTATTTGAATATCTAAGCAGGCACAGTAAAACAAAAATAAGACTTGGAATTAATAAAGTTTATTTCGACAGTTGGCAGAGATGGCTCCACTGGGACGAAGTGTTGACGGATCCCACAGAATTATGTGTCACTAGTAGATATGGTTAGTTTTGAAATATCAGGAGATAATCAGCTGTTATTCAAATCAGTGTATATGTTTTGTGATTCAAATAACGTCTAATATAAATATACCCCAGAATATGTACTCAGTGAAAAAAGAAAAATATTGCAAATTTCTAGTTTTTCTGCAGGTCTTAGGTTTGCTGGTAGCTCTACGACATATATTTGGGTATTTCTTAATCGCTGTGAATATAGTGTGGATGTTTGTTAAGTTCCTGAACAACGAAAAGTATTCAACTTTATGGATGTATGGATATTAAAAAACCAGAATGGTTTTGTGGGAATATCAATCTAAGGTGCCATAATGGTTCTGATGAACGGCAAGTAAATGAATGAATGTTTGGAAACGAGCAATATCTATGAACTTTTTGGTAGAGCCAGTCATCAAGTAGGTGCTTAATGACTATCTGCAAGAGGTTTATAGGGAAAAACACCCAGTAGATGATCTTGAATCAGTAAAATCGTATATCAATTGAAGAAAATAATATAAACTAGAATAAAAAATCAACAATAGTAATTAAATCATGAATTTTATTCAAAAATCAAACATTTGTTTAAATTTTGACTGAATTGTATATGTAATTTCTTAATATTCAATAAGCTGATGATGTTTCAGTAACAAGATGTCATCTCATACTTTGACAGTATTTTTTTTTCAACATTTCATAGCTATTGGTTGTTAAAATTTGTTGATTGGAACTTGAAGCTCATTCGCTGTATTTACGGGCTGTTACCCTATAGGTAGAGAATAACGGACTATTGTTGGTGAAATTGGCCCTAAATATAGTAAATCAACCATGTTCTTTCCCTTTTCACTCAATATTGTTGCGCATTATAAAAAAAAGTGAAGTAAAAAACCCTAAAGTTGCACAACTTGTTTATAGGCCAAAGAAAAGCCACTATTAATTCCACTGAAAAAGAAAAATCGGCTTAGATGGGCTAAAGAACATAGACAATGGACACCTCAACAATGGTGTGCAATACAATGGAGTGATGAGGCCCGATTCGAAGTTTTTGTTAGTGACAGTCGCAGTAAGTTATTCGCAAAAAAAAATGAAGCATTCCATGTTGACTGTCTGAATAGAAAAGTGAAATTTCCTGCATCCATTATGGTCTGGGGCAGTATGTCATCAAAAGGAATAGAAAAACTTCATTTTATTGATGGAAATGTGGATACAAACAAATATTTGGCAATTTTAGAAGAATCGCTTTTACCAGTGATGGAAGAATGTTTGACATCCGGCCAAGATTTTGTGTTTCAGCAAGATGGTGGCCATACCTCAAAAAAAGCTATAAAATGGATGGAAGAAAATAATGTACCACTTTTGAAATGGGTTTCTAGTAGTCCAGATCTGTCACCTATTGAAACTTTGTGGCACCAGATGAAAAAGGTTCTACGACAACATCCTGCTCGTACAATCACCGAACTGAGACAAAAGCTTCAAGAAATATGGGATTAATATACACTAAATTTTTGCCAAAACTTGGTTAATACTATGCCCCAAAGAATTTCAGCCGTAATAAAAAATAAAGGTGATGTTACCTAGTGGTAATCTTTTAATTGTTGCTTTGTTAACTTCGCGCATTTATTCGCACATGTTTATTTGTTCAGATGTTCTACTAGTTATAGGTCTAAGTGATTTCAAATATGTATTTTTTACGACTATGAAAATGTTTTTGAGAAAATAAATTGTTTTAGAAGTAAATAGTTTCATCATGTTTAGTTTATAAAGGCATATTTTGGTACAAATTTTGAAGTGGGCCAACTGAAGTGGGAAGGGGCTCGTATTCCTGATGGAATAAGCGTTGTGAAGTATGAATATTTCTTTGATGCTGTCGAACAGTTGGACTTGATGGTGGTCATTCTATATTCTTTGGAGACTTCCATGCTCTTCGCTTTGTTGAGAAGAGCATGCTTGATCCAAAGACAAAAGTTACATGCATTTATTTGGATCTGCTCAATTGCCAGGAGCTGAATACCGTAACCACTTAAGTAGGTTATAAGACTTAGTAATAACACGTTTTACTTGTGAGGTCACTCATGATTGCCTTTGGTTTCAGAAGACAAACATCACCCTGCTTTGAATATCTGTATACTTGATCTATTTGCCAAAGAAGCTAAAATCGAATTCAATTCAAATGAACGTGTTTACAACTTCAGAAAAGCTGATTTTCCTTCTCTTTACAGAAAACCGTATGAAACTGACTGGAGCGTATTATTTGCTTCTGAAGATGTTAATGCTGTCCTTGATAAAATATACGAGACAATATTTAGCATTTTTGATAAACATATACCATGGTTTGATGCGAAAAATTATCCGCAATATTAAGCAAAAGGTGAAGTACAGAAATAAATTCAGGAGGTTTGTCTGAATGCGAATTTCAGCGGCTACGCAAATTGATCAAAGTCCAGATCAAATGTGCATACGACAACAACCTTGAAGATATTCAAAATTCATTATCGCATGATCCTAGGGTGTTCTGGTCATATGTAGATTCAAAAAAGAACACTTCTAGGATCCCTTGAAAGATGTGCTACCTTAACGAATCATTTGATACTCCGCAAAACATTGTGAATGCCTTTAGTATATTTTTTAAGAGCCTCTAGAGTCTCAAGCAGCCAATTTGGGTAATGTGGTTGATAGTTTCAATAATCTTGCTCATGCACATTTTGATAATATTTATGATAACGAAGTAATGATTGCTGCTAAGAAACTTAAGGGCAAAATGACTTCAGGCCCCGATAATATTCCATCCGTTTCGATCAAGGATTGTGCCGGAGCATTCGTGGTTTTTTTAACAAAATTCTTTAATTTGTGTATTCAGTCGAAGAAGTTTCCGAAACTTTGGAAAGTTGCCAAAGTGTCCACTGCGCTAAAAACTGGAGACAGGTCCAACATTGAAAATTATTGTACGATCTCCATTTTGTGCATGTTCTCGAAGGTCTTTGAGATAATACTTTACAATCCCATTTAGAGTTCGGTTCCTAATCAACTCTAACAACATGAACATGGATTTATCAAAAACCGTTCAACTGCTACAAAGCTAGATACCATAACGCAATATATTTCGGGGGCATTGGACAACAATAGCCAAGTTGACGTCATCTACCCGGACTCCTCGAAGGCCTTCGATCGAATAAATCATGATGTATTGCTTGGAAAGTTAATCAAATTTGGGTTTTCCAGTGATACTAGGCACCTTTTTGAATCTTATTTATCTTCGAGGTGGCAATTTGTTTCTTATAATAATTTTCGTTCTGATACTAACTCAGCCTCATCCATGTTCCGCAAGGTCCAAATTTGGGTCCTTTGCTGTTCTTGCTATTCATCAATGATTTATGAGAAGGTTTGCAGAGTGAGCGTTTATGTTTTGCGGATGATTTGAAAATATATTCCGTTATCAATGATTTGAATGATTCAGACTCAACTGGACATCCTCCAGCACTGGTGTGATACCAATAAGTTATTTCTTAATGAACCCAAATGTAGAATTATGAGTTATTCTACGAGGAAAACTACCTATCACTTTATTTGCCTGTTAAATGGACTATATCTAGTGCGTTGTACCGAATTAAGGATATAGGTGTGATTTTGATTACAAGTTGACATTTGGTAAACATAATGAACCATTTGTTTCAAATTCTATACAGTTATATGGATGTGTTGTTAGAAACTGTAGACATTTCCATAACATAAGAACCAGGTCTAAACTGGAGTATGCTTGCATATTTAGGAATCCCTTTTACGGGTGACAAAAGAGTTTTTTGGAGAAAGTACAGAGAAGATTTTCTAAGTTCTTAGTTTATAAAATTGATGGAATTTACCCAGAAAAGGGTGTTACCAATACCGAGCTATACAGTCATGTTAACCTTATATCTCTGGAGCAGCGTAGGACTTGCGCGACATTGATATATTTGTTTAAGCTTTTAAATAATCTAATTCACAGTACGTCACTTCTTGGAAAGATCAACATCAGTGAACCAACTTTTGCGTCACGTACTCACTTCACGTTCAGAGCTACAAGGGCAAGAACAAATATTTCACCGCTAAAAAATATTTTTAAAAATTTCAATAGAATCTCTACTTTTTGTAACATATTTTGTACTTCTAACAAATAATTTGTTAGGATGGCTAATACATACGTAGATCAAGGATATACATGAGATATTTTTATTTTGTTATATAGTTTGTTCTGTATCTTTTGTATGGATTTTGTATAATATTGTCTTGTTAATGGGCCACTGTTGGACAATAAAGCTACTATCTATCTATCTATCTGTAATTTGAAAAAGGCCCGAAATGTCGGTAAATATTAATGTATCACTTAACGTCAAAAACATGGTAGTCTATCAGTATGAAAACCACAGGATGTTGCATGAACTACTAGCTTTCTATTTGCCAACCTTCAACTAGCCACAGGCAGCTTTATCTCTTTAGTTTGTCAGTACAGCATAGATCTAGAGTAGAGAACAGAAGCAGTGTAACCATCTTCTGTAGATGAATAGGTGCAATTATCGCGTTTCATGCACTACTTCATCTCCATTTTTTCAATTACGAGTCGGAAGCATCAGTTGAAACAATTCCAATCCCACTTCTAATTTCATTGCCTAAGGTAAAGAGCGACACGGCGTGCTATTCCTCTAATAGCACCTTCTCCCAGGAGGCTATATATGATAATTGACATTGAGGGAGCGAATCGAGTTATGCAGTGATTTCCATGCGCGAATAGATGCTGAAGCGATTAAATGATTATAATAATACCCCCTCAAGTAGTTTACGGCGGCGACGGCGAAACTACGTCGTAGTCTGAATTAATGGATATTCTGTAGGCATGGGGACTACGCCGATCACTCCATTTGAATTCGAATACATAATTATCAGGATTGCAGTTGCATTTAATTGCTTACCAGGCGATAGGACTCACGTGAATGGAATCATTTTCGTCATGGACGAATGAAGTTCTGCCGGAAAAACATATTATCGAGATCCAGAATGCATACAATTTTGACACGAAGTGATACAGGAGCACGTAAAAAATGGCGTCAAGTAGGTAGACTCTGCACCTCATACGCAATGCTGTATAAACGTTCGAAACAGAATATTTCTGCTCCATTCCATCGAACATGTTTTTTCGAAAGTGGCTTCTCTTACAACATCTATAAATTATACAACTCCATCCACCAGCAAATCAAAATTATGAAAGGATGCAAATTCAAGGCAGCCACGAGACGATTCCTTTTAGATAAGTATAATTAATTTCACTGATAATACTGTAACATTTAGCTTTTTTGAATGAATCTCATGATTATACGATGGAATATTTTCAGTTTTATATTTTCAGTGTTATTTGTTTTTTATACACATGCTTTTTTTCTGCTCTCCTATAGTTAGTAGTAGTCATGTAACCGTTATCACTATTTTAAAATAGAGCAAGGGATGAGTGGAAGAGCACGCAGGTCGTGAACTCCCCCTTGAGATTCGAGAGCAATTATTCCTTTTTGTTGAACACTATTTTTGTATGCATCGTCTCTTCGAATAAAGCCATTTATTATTATTATTATTATTATGTTTGGCCCAAGTTCATCTCTACAAATGTGTGAGATATTTACTGATAAAATTACTGGGGTTGGAAGTGTATAAATATACTGCCGCCAAAAAGAGATATGCCTTCCCCCCACCCCTCCAATTTTCGATTTTCTCAAAATGGTCAGGAGTCTCGCAAACGAAATTTGAGCGATTTTGATATTTTTCGAGTTTTTGTCCCTAGACCAGCCGCTACTGAATCGATTTGCAAAAACTGTAAAGCTTTTTCGTCCTTGGTGTAGTAGTAACCTTGTGTCCGAATCAAAAACATAATATTTCATTTTCGAGATTTTTCACGACTACAGCACTTCCTCGCCAGTTCGCGTGGGAAGTAAAAGGGAAAATTTGAGAACGTCAAAAAAGTCAATATTTTGAATGATTTCTGTTAACATACTTGTATCTCTCCAAGTTATGCATCGACTATAAACAAACTAGAAAGCTACTTTTCAATAGATCCTCTACCCCCTAGAGACTATTGGCTTTCGCTGAGCCATCAAAGCGAGTATAGCGAGCATCGACTTTAAAACGAGGATAGACCCCTTTGCTTACATTTCTGGTTGTTGACGACATATACAAAGCGAATCGACACGTTGCCTCGCCGCAAGAAACGGCAGCAAAACAACGGATTTGTTCGTGGTCGTTCTACACATTTTCAAACCTCCAGTAACTAAAATTACTCCCTGTTTATGGTGATTTTTCAGCGCATGTGTGGATACTAAACATCATGATTCTCGTACAATGGATTGATATCAAAATAGTCAAACAAGTAAGAACCTTACATAAATTATACCATAATCGACTTGAAGATCTGGCAACGTTGCTTTTATCTGCTCATTCATAATTTATCCACATCGTAAGAAAATAGTATATTGGTAGCACTTATTTAAGTTACTAAACAACTGCCATTTTGTGTCAATTGTCAAAGTTTGTTTTGATAGTGAATTTCCTTGCTGCTTTTATTCATTTTAGAGAGACTATAAAGGTATATTCAATCGCAATAAAATGGTGCAGCAGTGCTATTTGTGTAAAATTTATAAACATCAGGCTGGAGCGGAATCTTTAAAATTTCATTCGTAAGTATACATCTTGTTTATGTTCAGAGGCGTATCATGGCGTCTCATTATCGAGAAACTTGTTGATAGCTTTCGATTTATAACTGTAATATTCGAAATTCTATCCTTCCCAAGAACCCGGAAAGGAGAAAAAGGTGGTTGTCGGCCCTTGGATTCGAGGAAAACCATCAATTTCCTAAGAGGGTGGAGCTATGTTCCAAGCATTTTGGAGAAAATGCGTTTGTTTATGGAAGTGAGGGACAAAAGACACTCAAGCGGGATGCGATTCCTCTCATCTCTCATTCTTTGTTTGATCCTGCAGTAAGCACCAGGTAAACTCTTAATACATAATAGACTAGTTTTCTAATACAGTAAACAAAAAAGAATAGTTGTATTTAATAATATTTAACAACCACTCATTTTGATTCTGATTCTATCTGCTGTTTAACTTTTCATATAAGATGTTTCTGATCTAGGTATTTCCTAACTTAACTGTTATGGATTTAGGTAAATTTAGCTATAATTATTGTTATATTTTGGCAATTTCACAGATAATAGACAGATATAAGACATACTCTATAATCTATCAGCAATCAAGAAGAGCTAACATAATATCTGCATCTTATGAGCTGAAATGAAGATGATGCTTATATCTTACATTACATTGCTATGAAAACAGTGACAGTACATTTGATTGATTTGGTTTGTTTAAATCACAATGCATTAGACTGAGTTGCTCATACTTTGGTTAAAACTATAGTTCCTTTTGATTTTTTGTGTATTTTTTATATATGTGCATTGATTTTTATAACTCATACTATTATTTAGCGTTTAATTTCATGAAGTATTTCTATGCATTAGTATCTCACTATGTAGAAGTCCCTAATTTGGTTTTGTATATATATACGCTTTATTCTAGTTCAGAATCATCTGTAAGTCCAGAGAAGCAAGAAGACTCAGATTGTATATATATCTGCCATTTCAATCACTTGTGAGGGGACTCCTGCTAAAAAAGGTAAGTTTAATTTATATCTCTATCATGTTATTTTGTAGTATATTGAAATTTCTATGAAATTGAACATTTGAACAAAGTCCTACATCCATATGGAAGCATTTTATATTTGCTGAATTGATATCGTAGATGGAAAAAATACCACCATTGTAGGTTCAAGTACAACAAGAAGGTATTCAGGAAATTATCTAGGGTTTTGTAATGATTTAAATAGAGCTTACCTCAATCTGTACCATAAAAAAGATGATGAAGTTGAAACTCATTCAGTTTGATATATGCCTTAATATAACCCTTACTAAATGTTTGATCAGTCCTAATCAGCAGTATTCTTTTCATAGCACTTATTTATTTGTTGTTTACAGGTTATTCATGGATGAAGAGATGTACAACTTTCCTGGCTCATCAAATGAAGAGTAAGGCTTATTAAACATTTGTGCTTTTATACTGTTACATAGGAATTAATTTTCTTCTTTGTAGGCAATATGTCCATACTTCCTCAACATTATCAGCATCAGAAAGTGATAGTGCTGCTAATACTGCTGGAGTACAAGAACATATGCTTGATCAGAAAAAAAGAAAGAGGTGAGAGAAGTTTATCACTTATTCGATATCCTGTAATACATAATACTGCAACATACAGAATGATTGGTTTACAGTTTAATAGGTGGTAAGAGGATTAATAACGTTTGTTTTAGTTTTTAGATAGCCTAGGTTTGTCTTATATTCAAAACTTTGTTCTTATATGACTGCTACTATTTTGGTTATAATTATTATATGTCTATTTAATATGTGTACCCAATATGTTTCATAGTAACACATAAAAATTATATCAAAAGTGATAACTGCTCGATATATACATTTCAGCTGATACTTAGTGTATTTTTATGAATGAAGATATGAAAATGAGCTATGTGATTATATTAAAACTTATTTGGGGTCTCGATAATCATTCCATTTTCCCTGATTTGTTACATTTTGCAATATATATATATATATATATATATATATATATGTATGAATAAAAATAGAACTTAATAACTTGGAGTTTCTATTTTAAAGGCTTTTGTATCCTGCCCACTCAATAGAGTTCACGTAAGTATTCCAATTGAACTAGATATTGCACAAATATGAGTAATATATTTGTTAGTACACAACTTCGTACCGTTTTTTTTTTGTGATGCTCTTGATTTAAATACGCTTATTTTGTCACCCTTATACGTATTGTATGCTACGCCTATGTGTAATTGTACCAATGATTATACATAGAGTTTTCAGTGACGTGAGGTTTCACAACCTGAATTCTCATGCGGCGGCCATTTTATTGTTCCCCTCTCATTCCCTCATAGCCCCTCGCCACCACTTTGTGCTTTGTTTATGTCGTCAACGAATCTAATGTAGTTTTATGAATGACTTGCTGGGTCTATCCTTGTTTCAAAGTCGATGATAGCGAGTTACTCGTTTTCATTGTTTCACGTGATTAGCACAGTCACCGACGGCATACGGTTGCTTTGCTGTATAACTTATCTATACACTGAAAACTAAATTTGTCTGACGGTTTGAGCTCAATGCGAGAGAGATGTGTACGAGGGATAATAATAATAATAATAATAATAATAATAATAATAATAATGTCTTTTTTAATCCCTCCACACTGCGAGGCGAAGTTTAGCCAGCTGGCTACTCTACCACTTAACCTCACAGCGTAGGAACACATACAAAAGGAAAAACATAACAATGAATAGCAATCGACTAAATAATATATACAATAATTAAGCTTAAATAGATTAATCTTGATAATAAACAAAAAAAAAACAATAATGACAAAAAAATAAGAATATCAGCCAGCTTGGCTAGCAGATCCCAGAAGGTGGTTCTTAATGGCTGTCTTGAATGCAAGTATTCCCATCTTTTTGTAATTGTCATTAAGACTATTATACACCTTGACAGCGTTGTAGGTGAAGCTACGATGGAAAATGTTGCTCCTATAACTAGGTATATGGAAGTCAGAGTTATGTCTCAGATTCCTGTAATTGAGATCCCCACGTGGTACCAGCCTTTTTAGTAGATAAGTAGGTAGCCTATTGATTTTTATTCGTTGTACTAAAATTAGTAAGTTATATGCGAAAAGCTGGTCAACCCTCAACCATCTAAGCTCATTGATCTTCTTAGACACATGGCTAAACTTTCGCAGACCACAAACGAACCTACAGCAGCTATTTTGAATTTTTTGTACTCGATATCTAGTCACGTAATCAAGACAAGGAAAGTAAACAGCAATTGAATAATTTATTAACGATAGAACCAGAGTCTCGGCCAGTTTTTTGCGAGCCTTGAAATTCAGAATATGGCGATTGGTGTATAATAACTTCAAACGCATGTTTGTTAAGCGAGATAAATGCGTAACATGTTGTTTAAACCTCAAATCTGAATCCATGGTGATCCCTAAATACTTCGCATGGTCTACTATAGGAATATGGGTTTCGTTAAGACTAGGAACAATTGTGCCATCTAACCGTTGTACTAACTGTTTTGGGCCAAATAGCATGGCGGAACATTTTGAAGCATTGATCTTCAGACAATGTCTTTTGCAGTACTCTTCAATGTTAACTAGATCCAAGTTCAATTTATATGATACTTCATGCATGTCCGAAGAATCAAAAGACAGAGTTAGCTGCGTGTCATCTGCATACGTTTGAATATTACAGTGCTGAAGGCAAGTATGTAGATCAAAGGTATAAACTAAATAGAGTAATGGTCCCCAACACAGAGCCTTGAGGTACGCCAGATGCCACACTCTTTGCCGAAGAAACTCCCTTACGTGTTTTCACCTTCTGGGTACGATTGCGCAAATACGAATCGGAGAAACGTAGTGGCTTGTCAGAGAGACCATAAAATTTGAGCTTACTCAAGAGAATACCATGACGTACCATATCAAAGGCCTTAGAGAAGTCAAGCAGAATCAGAGCTGTTTCCTATCTGATCATCTACATTTTTGATGATATGATCCGTAATATTTAATAAAGCGGTTGTTGTGCTATGCCCTGTACGGAAACCAGACTGATATTGAGGAATCGTATTGTTTTGTTCAAAATAGTGGGCCAGCTGTATGTAGACAATTTTCTCTAAAACCTTCGACAAAAAGCACAACATGCTGATGAGCCGCAGGTGAGAATACTCAGAGGGGCTGTTTATCTTCGCCAAAGGCAAAACGATAGCTTCCTTCCAGCAGCTTGGGAAAATCCCTGTCTCTAAGGACACATTTATAATATGAGTAATGTGATTCAAAATTTCTGGTAGGCAGAGATGTATCATTTTACGACTAAGTCCATCACAACCCGATGTTTCTGACTTGATAGAAGTTAAAACATCCAACACTTCATGCTGGTCAACGTAGCGAAAAGTAAATGAAGGAACATTAGAGCAGAAGGAGCTATTATCATATTTATGAATTGTAGACTCAATTAGCCTCGAGTTCATATTAGCAGCCTGTGAGTTCAATAAAAAGTAATCATTCAGAGAGTCTGGTTCGAGTCGGATGTATTTTAGGTTGTGCATATAGCAAACATAGTAGGCCGCGCTGATCGAACGTCAGTACTGAATCTTAACCTCACTCTTTAGTAAACTTAAATTCAAAGTTTCACAGCAATACGTGCAGTGTTCTCACTACAGTGAATTTTTAAGTGTCACCAAGTCATTAGAAAAATGGAACTCAACCGAGAACATTTTCGCACCATAATTTATTACAACTTTCACAGACAATTATCGCAACAAGAATGCCTTGCTGAGTTACTGTCTGTTTTCGACAACGAAGCGCCACATCAGTCGACAATTTCCCGTTGGTATGGGGAATTCAAACGTGGACGGGTGGGTCTTTGTGACGATTTCAGGGTGGGTGCACCAAAAACGGCAGTCACCC